TCATCCAAAATGAGGATCATATTGTGTCTTCAGTGTTGATCAAATGCTGTAAAACATAACAGTGAATTTGAAAAATGGCTTTACATCTCTCCGAACCCCCTGTCTTTAGAAAAGCTTTGTTTAGTCTTTTTGTTTTCACCAAAAGTCCTCTTTAAATTCACAACGACTAGATATCTTTTAAAAATGAAATCAGTATTTGTAATAAATTGCTCACCCTAAGCATAAAACCCCAATGAACAAATTCCTTGTTATGAATCAAAATCTAGCTGGACTTGGATTACAAACTGGAGAGATATTGACATTTTGATCAATCATTAAAGACAAGTCGATGAGTGGATTTTGTTTTTCACTAAAGCCTACATATACTATTTTTTTTTAAACAGTTATCATATTCATCATAAAGAGAAACAACATTTTACATGATGTTGCAAAAGATAATGAAAGACAACAAGAACAAGAATGATAGTGCAGATCTCCACCAAGGTGGCTCATTCTCTGGCAGTTTTTACTTTGAAAGGAGTAGTATTTGTATAGCATATCTTATGTACAGTATATAAAATTTAAAAAAACGTTGTTGCCTTTGTTCTTTTTAAACATGAGTAGTATGTTATGGAGCATAAACAATGCAAAGTGCAAGTTTTCGTTATTTGCCCTGTTTGAAACTCATTTTAGTATACTTACCATAATTTTGAAAATAAACAGTTGTCATTTTTTATGTGAATATACTACATATGTAGCATTCATTTCATTGTTTATAAAATTTGTTTAAATGTTTATTTTTGTAAATGTTGCCAATAAAAACAACAAAATAATTTTTAATGAAATTTTAACATTTACTCTATTGGTACTTGGTATTGGTACTTTTTGGTACTTTCTATATGCTAACAATACACAGTTAAGTTTTTGTCAATAGCCATTCATTGGGTTAACCTTGAAGAACGTACTGAATGTAAGGTAAATTTATATTGATTGTTAAGATGACCCCACTTTACACCCCTACAAAATTTTGGCATAATTTATTCAAAACTTTGCAAGCTGTCATGTTTATAGATAGAATGAGACATACATAAACATGCACACATGCAACAGCTACCAAGAACATACCTCCTTTGGCAGAGGGAATTATTTACTCACAACAACATAGATAATTGGGAAATCAAGGTCAAAAGGATGTTTTTGTGGTTGCTTGTTGTGAAATATCAGTCAGTAAACTTAGCGACGGATCTACTTCTGTGCTAAACCTACTTGTAGTTATCATTCACGTCAGCTTTAATTTCATTTTAAGGCCATTACTAATGCAGACTGCAGCCCCAAAACCTTCAGATGGCATCTGAGACTGAAGGGCTTCAAAAACAAAAAATGTCTTCAAAGGTATCATTTCCACGAAAGCCACAGAACTGATCATTTGGACTTCACAAGAGAGCACCAAACATGGGACAGCCCACACACCCACACCAGTAGCTACTCTTTGTTTCTCACCTCCCTCTGGAATACAAACTTCGAGTAATCAGGACCCTGGAACACCAGACATAAAATATTCCCTCTAGGCCAGAAGAGTTAGAAAGAAACTCAGAAGAATTTTCTCCAACTATGACATCCTAGTGTACTTCAGATCGAGGCACACCCTCAGACAAAAACTGGTTCAACCCAAGAACAAAACTCAGAAACAGTACAATATAGTGTATCCTGTGCAGTGCAGCGAAGAGTGCTCAGATCTCTATATTGGAGAAACTCAACATAACAACATAGAAAAGCCACCTCAACAGGACAAGAAAGAGGAGTGAAAGATGCCATCCATGTACACTATGAACGACCATCCTTGAACAAAGAGGGTGGCTTACGCACCAATTGTCAACCACCTACAACACAGTTTTGAGATCCCTTCCCTGGTGGCGAGACAGATGACTTACATGTGGTGAGACACATGATTAATAATGGGTTAACGACCCTCTTAAAGGACAACTTCCACTAGGGATTAAATACCTGGGACTCTCCACCATTTGGTTTTAGAACTGAAAAAGCTTCTTGGATGAGAGGGGAAACACATTCAGGAAACGTCCATTTTCACGCTTTAGAGCTCCAAAGTGTGGAATGGACATATTGGAACGCCATCTCTATTACACGCTTTGCTATGATATCAGGTTGATCTATAACAGGCATAACTAAAGTTAATCTGCTGGTTAGTTGCACAGAGAGCACCATAAAGCACGGTAATAGGTAACCGGAGCTTAGTATCTTGAACTGGCAACATGAAAATAATGTAATAAGAAAATAATATATTTATCAGTCCTTTATTTATCCAGGTAAAAAAAATCTCATAGAGATTTCTATGAGACCTGGCATATATAAAACTGTCTGTTCACTTAATTTAATATTATTTCTTACAAAGTCTCATTGTTTATTTAAAAAGAAAATCCTCTGAGAAGCTGTTTGGTTTATTTGTTAAAATCTTACATGCAGTGAAGATGTCCTTGTAATCAATCTTTCACTAAAATGGGTCACAGCCACAAAGATTGTGGCTTCGTGGTCTAGGGTGTCCAAACGGAGCCAGACATTGTAAACAACGCAATTTTCTATTTCCAAATTTTATCATTGGGAGAATCGATCTAACATTAGAGAATACTGGCGTTTGAAAGGACAGTAGGTTAAGCACATATTGCACATATTGACATCTGGGTAAATCATTATAGAATCTGAGATTCTCTGATGGGAAATTACCTCACAAACCTACCTGACAACACCGTGGGTGGTCTGAAAAACAGGCTGATCATGTCACAAACAGGATAATAGTCTAATAAGTAGAAAGGCGTGTATATACCAGGGTTACAACTACAACAGCAATTTCAGCACTAGCAGTATATTATCATGTTGTTGGCTCATATTTGTGCTAACATTAGCCCTTTTGTTCTTCCTTTAAAAAGTACTTTATTGGAATGCATAGTGGGAGTCACAATGACTTAATGAAATTGGAGAAACTGGTACCTTTGATGCTGTGAAATTAGGCCTACAAACATCCCTTCACCCGTGGACACAAATTTATACATTTCTGTTTTTAATTTAAGGCATTTTGACCATCTCTTTTACATATTTTATAGACAACACTGTATCGTCAACACGTTCAACGTCCAACTGTTCACGCTGCTTCAGCTTGAATTGTTCTGCCATTCTTCACAGGTCCACTAGTGGCCACTCCTGTTTCCCCACTGAAAAAAAGCCGGATAAACTTTCCCTCCACTACATTAGATACACCAGTTCAGCGTCTGGTCCATCCAAATGTCCAATCAGCCAATAACATGACAATATCTCAGTGCATTTAGGCATGTAGACAAGATAAAAGCAACAGAATGGGGAAGAAAGATGATTTAAAGGACTATAAATGTGGTATGGTTAATGATGGTGTCAGACAAGTTGGTTTTCTGGGAATTTTCTCACACAACCATCTCTAGAATTTTTGGAAAAAATATCCAGTGAGTGGTTGTTCTCTGCATGGATCCATTCTTGTATCAAGGCTGATGCTGGTGGTGTAATCGTGTATGGGATTTTCTGTAGTTAGCTTTGGGCCTCTGGGTGTCAATCAACAAGTCTGCAGAACTGCGTGATGGTATCATGTCACATGTGCCAGAATCTCAGAGGAATGTTTCCAGCACATTGTTGAATCCTTGCTATGACAAATTTAGCCAGTTCTGAAGGCAAACAGGGTCCAACCTGGTGCTATCAAAGTGTGCCCAATAAAGTGGCCAGTGAGTGTATCATAAGCTGCTCCCCATTGGAAGTAATTCATTCTCTGCCTGAGTTTGCAATATGTCATCTTATATTTCCATTAAGTTCCTGTTTGAGAAACCTTACAGGAAATGTATCCCTGATACCTATCAACAGAAAGCTGAATTCAAAGGGCAGTTCATACAATTTGCATTATTGGCATAACACAAGATAAGACATACAGAGCCATTGAAAATGGATTTTCTAAATGTTCTCTTCAGTTGTCAGTTTGCTATTCTCAGTTTGATTTGCTTTTAAATCAATGCTGACTCTATGGTAATTCTCTTATTTTAATTGTTTTAAATTGTAATAGAATAATAACATGCATATGAAAAACAGAGATGCAAATTAACTGACAATATTATAATCAACATTGTTGTGCAAAATATGCTTTACAGTAATGTGTCACATGAGTACAAATCTAAAAAGCTTCTTACAAGCAGTCGCAGGGAAAGTTGAAACACAGTACATGCAGTGACTTTGTTATTTAACATATTCTTCGCAAAAATTTACAAGTTTCACAATTTTCTTTCACATAAATCAGCAAAACGGGAATGTTGTGATTGTCATGAGTGATGAAAGTATATGATCAAAGCCGTTTGACTGATATATGTGCAACTCAGACATCCTTTTACACACAATGGCACAACATTTAGGGGGAAAAAAATGGCATGTCTGGTTTTTCCTTCATCTGTAAACCTAAAATCAGCTACCATCCAAATCCATCTGACTGGGGAGAGTCATGTAAATAATATAATCAGCGTTGGTGTTGGGGAGCGGGAACACAGAATATAGATTAATGAATAGGAAAGGACAAAGAGCTGGACCTGATATGCTACATATATCAAATTTAAACACACAGAGGGTAGTTTGCTCACATTTCACATTTATAAATATAGAAAGAAGGGGAGGCACAGGTTGTCATTACAAATTCTCAAACTTTCACCAATAACTAGATGATCAATGATCAATCTTGTGTAGTAATAGGATGATACACACTGTCACGGCTCAGTTATTAGTAATTGTGTTTTAGCAATAGCAAAATTTGATTAAAGAACAGAATTAATCCAGATTGTGACACAGCTTAATTCTGTCTAATATGGACTTTAGTGTTAACAACTATTTTAAAACATGCACTGGTGAGCCACAGAACTGCAGATTAACAAAACCCACATCATCCTGCTGTAAATACTCACTAGCACCAAATGTTTATTAATCAACAGCTTAAAAAAGAACACGTACACTTGTACAACAACTGAAGACTGCTGGAGCTGAGCGTCACACAGTGTAGGGAGGTCACAAAGCACTGAGAAAGTTGTCATTTTGATTTTATTTATTTTTTTAAACAATGCCAAGTAAAATCATACCAGGCAAATCATTTGCAGAAACTTTGGCAGTTGATTAATATAAGAGCAAGATCAAGGTGATTCAGCATAAAAATATTTAGAATTCTTATTAATTCTTAATATGCTTTATGATTCTTGGGTCTCATCTGCTACGTTGTCAGGTGCAGTCTTTT